ATACCACCTCCTCAAAATATAGCCACACTTAATGATGTGGATAAAGTAAATCTTTCAGGACCTCCTTTTGCTGATGTGGCATGACTCAAGATGAGAAGAAACAACTGCAAACATCCATTTAAATAATTGGAAGATGGCACATATGAAGTATGAATCTAGGAAAAGTGGAAGTTGTCAAAAATAAAATGGAATGCATAAAGATTGACATCCTAGGCATTAGTGAGCTGAAATGGACCAGTTTTGGCCATTTTGAATCAGAAAACCCTATGATCAACATTCTTTATGGATATGGAAAAACCAATCACTAATTTCATATGGAAAGGAAAGAGACCTTGGATAAGCAAAGCACTAATGAAGAGCAACAACAAAGTAGGAGGTCTCACACTCCCAGATTTCAAAACCTGCTCTACAGCCACAGTAGTCAAAACAGCCTGGTATTGGTACAATGACAGACACACAGAGCAGTGGAACAAAACTGAGAACCCAGAAATAGATCCATCAACCTTTGGCAAGCTGGTTTTTGACAAAGGGCTGAAATCCATTACATGGGGAAGAGATGGTGTCTTTAACAAGTGGTGCTGGCAAAACTGGCTATCCATTTGCAGAAAAATGAAACAAGATCCATACCTCACACCATACACAAAAACTAACTCCAGATGGATCAAATGTGAAAACCTAAAATGTGAAACCTAAAACTATAATGTTCCTCAAGGAAAAATTAGGAGCAAAGCTAGGGGCCTTAATATAGGGCATAAATAGACTATCAAGCATAATTCAAAATGCACACACATAGAAGATAAACTAGATGAATGAGACCTTCTAAAAATTAAATTTTTATGTGCTTCAAAAGACTTCCCCATGAGTCAAAAGAGAACCTACAGACTGAGAAAAAATATTCAGCAACGACATATCTGATAAGGGTCTTAGCTCTAAAATTTATAGAAAACATAAACACCTCAACAACAAAAAGACAAATAATCCAATTAAAAAATGGGCAGAAGACATGAATGGACACTTCACCAAAAAGGATATTCAGGCAGCCAACAAACACATGAAGAAATGGTCAGAATCATTAGCCATTAGAGAGATGCAAAACAATGGGATACCATCTGGCCCCAGCACCAACAGCAAAGTTCAACAAGATAGAAAATAACAAATCCTGGTGAGGATGTGGAGAGATTGGGACTCTCATACACTGCTGGTGGGACTATAAAATGATACAACCACTGTGGAAAGTGATATGGTGATTCCTTAAAAAGTTGGAAATAGAAATACCATTTGATCCAGCGATCCCATTACTGGGTATGGAAATGAAATTTGAGAAAGGTCAAGTTGTTACCCAAGGTCACACATCTGATAAGCCTTAGAACCTAGATTTGAACCCAAACAAGTAAGAGTGGCTCAAAGCCCTGCCCTCACCAGGACTTCTGGCTCAGGCCAAGATGGAGTTTCCATTTACAGAGACTTTACTAAGTGCCAAGGAGCCTGGTGGCAGAGGGATTAAAGTGCTTAGCTGTTAACCAACAGGTCAGCAGTTTGAACCCACCAGCTGCTCTTCAGGAGAAAGATATGGCAGTCTCCTAGAGATTGCAGCCTTGGAATCCCTATGGGGGCAGTTCTACTCTGTCCTACAGAGTTGCTTTAAATCAGAATCAACTTGACAATAACAGGTTTGGTTTGGGGTTTACCAAGCCCTTTAGGTAAGTTATTCTACATAATCTGCAAAACAAGTTTTCAAGGTGGGTGTTGTTACCCCTGTTTTACAACACAAAAAACTGAACACAGAAGTTAAATAACATGATTAAGTTTACAACGCTCTTACGAACAGAATTGCAGTCACCGGTTGGTACCAATGGTTAGTACGCTCAGCTACTAACAGAAAAGTTGGATGTTTGAGTCCACTCAGAAGCACTTTAGAACAAAGGTCTGGTGACATATTTCTAAGAAGCTAGTCCCTAAAACTCTGTGGAGCACAGCTCTCCTCTGACACACATGAGGTCCCCTAAGTTGAAGTCACTCAACCCTCCTGCAACTAGTTTAATGACATTCTGGTCCATTGCCTTCTAAGCACACCTCCCAGAGGGCCCTCCTGGAACAGATTATGCATACTTTTAAATAAAAGGAGTTTCCTTCCTGCCTCCAGCAACATTTTGATAAATAGGATTTTCAATAGTTAGAAGGAAATGATATATTTATCCAGTAAGAATCTTCTGAGTCCCAGCCTGTTCTGGTTACCTAGTGCCGCTTTGACAGGAATATACCACAAGTGGGGTGGCTTGAACAAACAGGAGTTTATTCTCTTACAAGTTTGGAGACTTTAAGTCTGAGTTCAAAGTGCCAGGCTCTAGGGGCTGGGTGAAAGGCTCCCAATCTTCGGCTTCAGTTCTTCCTTCTGCTCCCAGCCCACTGAAGTTGGAGGCTTTTCTTCACTCGCTGCTGGCTACTGAGGCTGACAAACCCAAGGTTGACAAGTAAAAAGGCACAGTCCTAATGTTAACAAACGACGTGGCAGGCCACTAATTCAAGTCCAGAAGAAGCCCCAAGATCGGCAGGGCATGGCAAGCTGCTGAACAATGGCACGGTTACATGCAGGGTTCAAGAGTGCCAAAAGCTAGAGACCTTTCTCAAAGCTGTCTTCGTACATACTGGAAGCAGCCCACATCCCTAAAGCAGCTACTCAGCTGCTCCAGTAGATTCCACCATGGAGTTAATTACCAATCTCACCATGGGAAATAACTACATTCAGCTGCCCAGCCACTCAATCAAGCCTAGCCAAGTTGACACACGAACTTAACCATCATACAGCCCTTTCATAAGACTTTAAAAAATTACTTACCTTAAAGTAACATAAACTGAGGAAATTCTTCAAAATTGAAGAAGAGGACTTCTCTGTAGTTATGTTCTTTTTATAGTCAATGAAACATTACCTAAGCCTTCTCAGTTTCAAAACTAGAACCACTATCTAATAAGTTTCATTGCTGATCCATTCCACAACCACTCCCATGTTATTCCTTCCAGAGGAAACTCCTCAATTTCTTAGTCTAGATTCTTAACACTTTCTTAAACGTTCCCGGTTTAACAAGTAGAATAATGACTTAGCCAGAGCTTAATGGAACCAAATGCCCAGCACAGGATGGACACAATAAATGTTTATAGAATGAATGAATAAGCCACAGATGACACATGAAGTTGTCAATGCAATTTGTGTAACTTTTAAATTTTAATATAATTTCAAACTTACAAAAAAGTTGCAAGAACAGTACAAAAACATTCCTATAAACATTCCTACATACCTTCAGCCAAATCAGCTATTTATTAACATTTTGCCCATTTGCTTTATTATCAGTATAATTCTGTAAATGTTATAATGTGTAATGAAAGAACATTTTATAATAACTTGTAATTAATCAATACAAATAAAATGATTTAAACTCAAGATAAAGGTAACATCACTTTGCTGTCAGGGTCAACAAATCTAAATCTAATTCATACTTTTCAAATTGGAAAGCTCATTGAATTTAGCCAAATCTGAAGCCTGCACATAATTCTGGGTGATGACCAATGTAATAGCAGCCACAAAATTCCAAAGTGACCATAGTGACATCGATTTCAATGTGAGCTTATTTTTCAAAGAAGGATCACTCAACCAGCCTTTAAATTAACAGTAATAATAATAAAAGTTATAACTGTCCGATAGTATTTTACAACAAAATCCACAAATGATAAAAGAATCCTTCTATTTAAAAAGTAATCAAATGATAACAATCAACTTCTGGAACTGTCCAGTAATGACAACCTCCAAGAAATCTCTCTATATTATTATCTTTGAATTTCTATTTCCTCTGAAAATAATAAAAAAGCAGCTTCATGCTGATTAGTTGTCATTATTTCTCAAAACTAACCAGGAGAGGCCTAGAGAACTTCAAAACCTTCTACATTTGATCCCATAGATGTTGTTGTTGTTGTTGTTGTTGTTAAGTGCCGTTGAGTCGTTTCCGACTCATAGCGACCCCATGCACAGCAGAACGAAACACTGCCCGATCCCGTGCCAGCCCCACAATCCCTGATATACTTGAGCCCATCATCGCAGCCACTGTATCAATCCATCTCCTTGAAGGCCTCCCCCTCCTTCATCGACCCTCCACCCTACCAAGCATGCTCAGAAGAGCAGTCAGCCCGAGGGTTACAGGTGAGGAGTGACAACGCAGGGACGCCATAGTAGCAGGCTGGAAGAGCAGGAGAAAGGGGATAAAAGCCTTGAACCCGGATAGAAGAGCAGTCAGCCCCAGGGATACAGGTGAGGAGAGATAACTCAGGGACGCCCGAAGAAGCAGGCCAGAAGAGCAGGAGAAAGGGAATTAAAAGCCAGGAAGCCAGCCAGGTGGGGGTGACACGAGAGGTCTCCAGCAGCAGGACAAACTTGTCTGTCGGTTTGTCCTATTGTGGTGACATATAGATGTGAGTTTTGAGGCTGAGCCTCTGGTGTTTAAAACCCAGAGAGATGCACCTGGTGCACAGGTAACAGCCCAGCTTATAGACTGAGACAGACTAGGAAGAAGAAAGAGGCCGTCCACATCTGAAAGAATTGGCCAGGGAAAACCTTATGAATAGCAAAGAAACACTGTTTGGTACATTACCACGCACCTTTAGGATCCCATAGATATTGCAATGGTAACATTCCTGTGACTCCCTGAGAGGGTGATGAGTGTGCACTTCTTTTCCAGATAGGGAGAGGCCGTCTGGTTGTAACTGGTTCATGTGGCACTAAAGCTGTGAAGTGAACGGCTGAAAATACAGTCCTGGCTCAAGTACAAGAACACCTAAGTACAGCCTTATTTGAGGACATCACCTGAGAAAACAGTCTTCCCTGAAACTATTCACTGTGCAAATGTGTCATGGACTCAGATGCATCTCTTGGCTTCTTCAGGTTCTCTCTGGTTGTCTTCTCCAGCTACTGCTTTAGAAATGCTTTATGCACTGAAAATACAACCTAAATTCCATCAGTAAATATCAGTCAGGGAAGTCACATGAAAAGATTGTTCCAATTCACTCACACTGGTGGGTTTCCAAGGGTAAAATAATATAGTTCGTGTCTTCTCAGTCATGAGGAAACCATTGTCACTAAATCTCCCTGGGATGCTCCCCACATCCAACCACACAAAGGGAGCAACAGCTGACGTTTCCAAATCAAAAACAAATATGTCACCTCGCTGAGAGATGAGGGCCTGAAAGAAAAAGAAAAATGAAATAAAGGATGAAGAAAGAGCTATTCCTTTTTAGAATGCCTACAATGTTGTTTGTGCAACTGCTAAAGTCACATATCCCATGCACTCTGTGCACTTTCTGAGCATGCTTTCAAACATTTAAAAATACATGAAAAATTATTTAAGGCTGTGGAAAATTACTAGATTGCAATCTCAAACCAAGGAGATAAGTAGTATCCAATTATTAAGGGCAATATTTCACAAGAGGCTCAAAGTTTTATATCTTTTACAGTTTCTCTTAGAGAATCATCAAGAGAGGAACATTTTTGCATGAAGGCTGGGTGATTTAAGTGACTTTCTAAGGGTATATCTGGACCTAGCTGCTGAGCAGAATCATACAGTTTACATTCTAGTCTTCCAGAATGATCCAGCAATCTAGAAAGCCACCTGCCAGGCTTTTATAAAACTCTGTGGTTGAAGCTTTCTCTCTTTTATTTCATAACAGTAAATTCACATTATTAGTGCTTTCAACTGGTACAAATTCCCTATCATCCCAGCAAAAAGAGAGAGGCAGTCTGAATAATGCAGGCTCCATTCCAGTCAATTAGCCAATTAGCATGTTTCCAGAGCTGAAGGGCTGCTCCACAGAAGGTGGTGGTTCGTGGAGCTCTCCAGTGTGAGCATCAAGTTGAGCACAACCTAATATTTAAAGCTGTACATTTGCCCTGGAACATAGTTCTTCAACATGCCTATATACTGTTCTGTAGGGTCTTACATAATGCTATGTGCCACATAACACATTTCAAAGGCCAATGTTTACTATGTGTAACTCTAGCCTTCCACACTTCTATGACCATTAGTCAGAGTTCTGATTTACAACAATTAAAGTCACTTTACAAAAAGGAAAAAGAGACTCAGTGAAGTATATTAAGTAGCTCTAGTAGGGTGATATTTGAACATAGATGCCAGGAACAACACCCAAACTCCCAAACCACACACCATGCTGTTCAGGTGAAAACCCTAGGGCAGCCACAGCCATGAAGTTCACATGGCTGACTCTGTATGACCAGGAAGTCGCCAGCACATCCTCAGTCACTCCTGCTTGAAAGTTACGAGCAGAAGGGACACTGCCACCTTGCTTACCCTCCATGCCTTCTGCAGACTAGAAATCTCATCTCTCTCTACATCTTAGATTCCAGGAGGCAAGGTAAACACAGTTCTGCCATCTCTTTTAAGATAGTTCACCCAAGTACCCAGCCTTTATTAAGCCTACAGTAAATGTTAACTGATATTGATCAAACATAGAATCAAGAATACTGGAGATTGGAATGCACAAGTTAGAAACAAAGAAGGATCAGTAGTTGGAAAATGTGGTCTTGGTGATAGAAACAATGCAGATCATATGATAGTATTTTGCAAGACCAATGACTTATTGATAGCAAATACCTTTTTCAACAACATAAACACTGACTATGCAGATGGATCTTGCCAGATGGAATACACAGGAATCCAATCAACTACATCTGTGGAAACAGACCATGAAGAAGCTCAAGTCAGAACAAGGCCAGTGGCTGACTGTAGAACAGATCATCAATTGCTCATGTTCAACTTGAAGTTGAAGAAAATTTAAAGAAGGCCACCAGAGCTAAAGTATGACACTGAATACATCACCTGAATTTAGAGATCATTTCAAGAACAAATTTGACACACTGAACACTAATAAGTAAAGATCAGATGAGTTGTGGGATGACAAGGACATCATACACAAAGAAAGCAAAAGGTCATTAAAAAGACAAAAAGAAAAAAAACTAAAACAGATGTCAGAAGAGACTCTGAAACTTGCTCTTGAATAGCTAATGGAAGAAATGCTGAAACGAAAGAACTGAACAGAAGATAGCAAAGGACAGCTCAAGAAGACAAAGAAAAGTATTATAATGAAATGTGCCAAGATCTGGTGTCAGCAAACCAATAGGGCAGAACACACTCAGCATTTATCAAGATGAAAAAAAATAAAGATAAAATTCAAGCCTCGAATGGCAATATTGATGGATTCTTTGCGCAAAAATTTGAGTGACACAGGAAGTAACAAAAGAAGATGGAAGGAATACACAAAGTCACTGTACCAAAAAGTACAGTCAACACTCAACCATTTCAAACCAAAAAAGCCATACTCACTGCCATCGAGTTGGATCCAACTGATAGTGACCCCTCCTTGGGTTTCCAAGGTAGTATCACTACGGAAGTAGATTGCCCAACCTTCCATCCGAAGAGTGGTTTGTGGGTTTGAACCACCAGCCTTCTGGTTAGCAGTCAAATGCCTTAGGCACTACACCACCAGAGTTCCCTCAACCATTACAGGAGGTAGTATATGATCATGAATCAATGTCATTGAAGAAAGAATTCCAACCTCCACTGTAGGCACTGGTGAAAAATAAGGCTCTACAAGCAACAGAATGCCAACTGAGATGTTTAAACTAACATGCAATACTGGAAGCACTCACTTGTCTATGCCAAGAAATTTGGAAGGCAGAGACCTGGTCATTCAACTGAAAGAGATCCATATACATGCCTATTCCTGAGAAAGGTGATCCAACAGAATGCAGAAATTACTGAATAACATTATTAATATTATATGTAAGTAAAATTATGCTGAAGATAATTCAAATACAGATGTAGTAGTACAGCAACAGAGAGCTGCCAGAAACTCAAACCAGATTCAGAAGACGTGGAATGAGGGATATCTTTGCTGATGTCAGATGGTTCTTGGCTGAAAGCAGAGAATATCAGAAAGATGTTTACCTATTTTACCTGCATTTTATTGACTATGCAAAGGCATTTGACTGTGTGGATCATAATAAATTATGGGTAACACTGAGAAGAACAGAATTCCAGAACACTTAATTGTGCTCCTACAGAATCTGTGCATAGACCAAGAAATAGTCATTCAAACAGAACAAGAGGGCCCTGCATAACTTAAAATCAGGGAAGGTGTGTATAAGGGTTATATTTTTTCACCATACTTATTCAATCTGCATGCTGAGAAATGATCCCAGAAACTGGGCTATATGAAGAAGAATATAGCATTAGGATTGGAGGAAGACTCATTTATAACCTGTGATATGCAGAAGACACAAACTTGCTTGCCGAAAGCACTTAGTGATGAAGATCAAAGACTACAGCCTCTGTTATAGATTATATCTTAACATAAAGAAAATTCCTCACAACTGGACCAATAAGCAACATGATAAATGGGGAAAATACTGAAGTTGTCAAAGATTTCATTTCACTTGGATCCACAATCAATGCCCATGGAAGCAGCAATCAAGAAATAAATGACACATTGCATTGGGCAAATCTGCAGCAAAAGACCTCTTTCAAGTGTTAAAGGGCAAAGATGTAACTTTGTGGATCAAGGTGTGCCTGACCAAAGCCAAAGTATTTTCAATTGTCTCATATGCATGTAAAAGGTAGACAATTAATCAGGAAGACTGAAGAAGAATTTGAATTATGGTGTTGGTGAAGAAGATTAAATATACCATGGACAGCCAAAAGAAGGAACGAATCTGTCTGGAAAGAAGTACAATCAGAATGCTCCTTAGAAGCAAGGATAGTGAGACTTCATCTCATGTACTATGGACATATTATCAGGTGAGAGAAGAACATAAGGCTTAGTAAAGTAGAGAGTCAGTGAAAAAGAGAAAGACTCTCAACAAGATGGAATGACACAGTGGCTACAACAGTGGGCTCAAACATAGCAATGAATTTGAGGATGATACAGGGCTGGGTAGTGTTTCCTTCCATTGTACATAGGGTTACTATGAGTTAGAACTGACTCAATGGCACCTAAAAACAACTACAATAACATCATCATTATTATTACTATAATAATAATATATAAAACTCACTCATTGCCATTGAGTCGGATCCGACTCATAGCGACCCCTCCTTGGGTTTCCAAGGCGGTATCACTATGGAAGTAGATTGCCCAACCTTCCTTCCAAGGAGTGGCTGGTGGGTTTGAACTGCTGGTTAGCAGTCAAATGGTTTAGGCACTATGCCACCAGAGCTCCTATAATAACAATACATATATATAACATATACATAATGTTATTAATATTATTATCCCTCAAACGAGGCAAGATAAAGAAGAAAGCCCTACTTCTCTCCCACTTCCAATTATTTCAAGGCAATGAAGGCCGAACTAACAAAAGAGAAAGGGCTTGTTTTCAAAATCATAAGGCTAGAGACTATAAATTTGTCCTATATATAGATGTATATATATATTTATATATGTGTATACATATACAGGTCCCTGGGTGGTGCACACGGTTTGTGCTTTACTGCTAACAAAAAGGTTGGCAGTTCAAACCCACCCAGTGATGTCACAGAAGAAGGTGTGACAATCAACTTCTGTAAAACTCACAGTGATAAAAACCATATGGAGTTCAGCTCTACTCTGTATCACATGGGGTTGCTATGGCTCAGAATCAACTCAATGGCAATGGGTCTGTTTTTTTGGTATGTATATTTGCTTTCCTGGAAAGAAGCTAAGTAAGATATGTCATTTCCTTCATATTTGTTCTGCATCAATTGTTATAGTTAACTTAGAAGCTATGAAAATACTTCATTATTAATTTACAAACAAGATAAGTTTTCAATTCTTAGGCCTTTTTCCAACAAAATGCAAGGACAAACCATTTTTATCTATTTTTTAAGTAAATGCAAAAAACCCTTTCCTTTAATTAAGCCTGAGACAATGAAGTAAAAGTATAAAACAAATTCTCTGAAAATAGAGAATGAAACCTTCCAGAAAAATATTTTCAATTACTATGTGTAGGGGGAAAAGAAGGGAAAGGTTTTCAATCAAGTAGACAGATTTCAAGTCTCCCAGCTGCACAATGTTTATAACAACACTGATCTGTTGTTCTGATCATCCCATTTTGTTCTTGGCAATTATAAAGAGATCTGGTGATTAAGCTACTTTGAAGCAGTAAATCAAAGAAAGTAGAGTGAATATTAATAGACTACTTGAAAGTTCAAAATTAGAGTGCTTCCACTGAGCTCCAATGCTTCCTGAGTACAGGATCTTGAGTGTTACCCTTGACCTCTCTAAACTAGTTTTCTCATGTATAAAATGGACACTATAATACTTCAGGGTTGTTGTGAAAAGCAGAGATGAGGTATTACAGCATCTAGAACAGTACTTGGAACCTAATGGAGGGGCAACGAAATGGTGATGCAATCACTCCCGCCACTGCAGGATCACTCCCGCCACTGCACCATACCCCTAGGGAAAGGTGATGGGACAGCTGGAATGGCAGTAGCTGAACACATTGGCAAATGATGAATGTGAAATAAAAATTATTGGGCCTTTGCTTCCAGTGGGAAGGGGTCAGTCTCCTCCATACTGCAGGTAAGCTTAATACCAATGGGAAATTTACAAGAAGATACCATGTGCTTGCCCTGCAAAGTCCCAGGGACTCTGGATGACAGGTGCTTACTGTGATATGTGCCTTTTGCAGTCCCACAGCCTCCTTCAGTGAGGATAGGAAATGATAGTTGGTTGGGCCCATGGGTTTGCCGTCAGTTGAAAGGTAAAAGGAAACCACACAGCTTTGCCGAGTACAATTCCAACATCCCATTAATGAAGGCACTGGCTCCTTATAGATGAGAATGGCTGTCCTTGATTTAATCACAAAATGTTCAGTCACGTGAGAACACAAAGGCTCCAAGGAATTCCATGAATGAACTCTGACCTGAGAAGTAAAACAGAATAAAAACAAACATTCTTACTTGCTGTTTAAGAACAGGAGTAATAACAGATGGAATTTATAACAGTAAAACTGGTAAAGAGATTATGAAACCTGCTGGTTATGTGCTTTCCCAAAGCCTCCATTTCTTCGTATGTTAAATGAGAATAATAACAGCATTTCATTTACTTGTGAGAAGTAAATGAAAAAAAAAAAAAAAATCCATGGTGGCACAGTGCCATGCACATTGTAATTATTTCATAAAATTACCTATTATTATTATTATTAGTGTTCCCCAAACTGTAGCCACTCAAGACTTCTTTGAGTTTGCAGCCTCTCTTAATATGGTTTAAATATAAGTTTATTTTTGACATATCCATTCTGCACAGTTTCACTGATTTGTACTTTAACATACCTATTTTAACTGTTTCTTTCATAAAGTTTGGACTATTTCTACTTTTTCATGATTACAAATAGCCTTACACTTAAGTGGAACTTCACAGTTTTTAATTTGCTTTTGTCTAATTACTTTATTCACTAATCACAGAAATTCTTTAGAAAGAAAGGATGGTATGGCTTTAAATATGAGTCAGCAACACATTATAGGCTCTGCTTAGTGTCACGAAATAAATGGCAGAGCCCTAACCTGAATATAGGTATTTTGACAAAAAAGAGCCCTAAAAGCATTTGGTACACACCAATTTCTCTTTTCTTTTTCCCAAAAGAAATAACCAAAGAATCAAAGATATAATCAAAAAGTCTATCTTAGAGGAAAAAAAGCCAAGTGACTTACTGTAAGTGTCAGCCTGTAGTCTGAGTGAAGATCTGATACACCATAGACATAAAACACATTGTTCTCTTCAAAGCCTACTGGCAACAGTGGAGCAAAGAAATGCTGAGCAAAATAATGAAGCATTTTCCACTTTCCTCCATACTCTGAAAACAATCAAGAAAGTTAAGAGATGGACAAGCTCATGAACTCAGAGATTCATCTCCCCATGGCCCAGTTGGGTGTGGCTTATCATGATGATTCTAGGGAATGAGTATAAGGGAAGGAGCTAATAGAGGAGGGAACACCCATTTGTGTGTGTATGTGGGCGGGGGGTGGATTATGTTAATACACTTAGCTGCTACCTGAAAGGATGGGGGTTTGTGTCTACCTGGAGTTCCCTTGGAAAAAAGGCCTGGAAATCTATTTTCAAAAAATCAGCCATTGAAAATTCTATGGAGCACATTTCTACTTTGATACACATGGGGTCACCATGAATTAGAAGTGACTTGATGGCAACTTGTTTTAACAGATGAACCAGGCATGATTCCAGGAGCATTTTGCACATTCTCTCACGTCATCCTCACGACTTCTGGTAAGGCAGGCATCAGCATCCCACACTTTACATGAGGAAACAGAGACTCAAATGGTTAAGTCAAACATGTGGGAGGCAGTATTTTGAGCACCAGCAAGCACTTCCTTACATGCAATTGTGTTTTCAAGAGCTCAATGCACTAGTATTTCTTTTTACTGTGAACATGTGAGGAAAGAAGTAAGTTGCATTGGCAATGAACAGGTTACAAGTGCCCATTTGTAAGTTATTTTAGAAGTCAAAGTCAAAGTCTCCTTTTCTCATAAGCCCAAAACCTTCTGAGCAAATCAAAACAAATCAAAAAATGTGTCTGGCAAGTTGAAACTGGAAGAAAGAAAATATCCAACTGAAGACAATGACAGTTCCTCAAATACAATTAGAAGTTATAGAGCGCCTCAATTCTGTATCTTGTAGGCATGTCTAGTATGTCACAAACTTCAAAATTTTTTCAGTTTCCTTTCTCAAGATCCTTCTGTTTCAGAAGGAAGAGACTTCCCCACAAAGCACTGCATCACTAAACTCCTAGACAGAAGGAGAGAATACTGCTAGAGTGCAGAGTACAAGCTGCTGAGATGGAGGAATGTGGTTTTGAAGTTGAGGGAAAAAAACTATTTCTTTAAGGTTTTGCAAAATTTCACCTCTCAGCATTTCGAGCCCAACTATTACTTAAAAACAAAAAACCCAGATGCCATAGATTCTGACTCATGGTGACTCCATGGCTGTCAGAGTAGAACTGTGATCCATCAGGTTTTCAGTGGCTCAGTTTTCAGAAGTAGACTGCCTGAGTCCCCTCTGGGTAGACTCTAACCACTGATGGACTCCACAACTCTTAGTATTTCCTCTTAAGAACAACAATGACAAAGGGAGATATGGGAGAGGCCATTATTGAACACATGAAGTGAATGAGAACTTACATTTTGAAAGTTTTTTCATAAACAGCAGATGGCTCAAACTGTAGGTAATTTATCCAGTATTGGGTATGATATCCATTATAGGGTAAAGACTTTAAATATGTGGTTCTAGATATCAAGGCTACAAACAAAATGCCCTCAGGAGAACAGGAATTAAAGCAAAAAGTCTCACTAACACATACCCTACTTGTACTCAGTGACAATTTAGAAACATGACATCTACTAAATTATAGGCTCAACATGATGTGATTTCTGGCTGTGTCATTAGTTCTGTGACTTTGGACAAGGCCCTAAACCTACCTATATGTGAGATATAAGATAGTCTTCAAATGTTCCCTACTCACCCCCACTCCTTCTTGATTTGGGCTGGGTCATGACTTGCTTTGATCAATAGGATGTTAGCAGACAATGCAAGTAAGGGCCTGAAATGTTTATATGACTGGGTGTACCCTCTTATCCCTGTGTTGTAAGAGAAGAACTTCCCCTGAGGTGTTGCTTTTCCTTCCACATGGGTAGCAGAATGAATACATATGAGCCCAACTGGCAGTAAGGAGCCAAATTCAGCTAGTCCACAATCTGAAGCAGAGTTTCCCTACCATGCCCAGCCTAGATCAGCTAACCCAAATCAATCCACAGTCACATAAATGAAATCAGCTGAGATCAGCAGAGATCCACTCTGCAAATATATGAGAATTTGTGGTTGTTTTCTATATGGCATTAGTAAGGCACTAGCCAACTAATACAACATTCCCTCTTATTTCTCCTTCTACTAAGGATCCAGTTACTGTTCTTGTTAGGTGCTGTCGAGTTGGCTCCAATTCTGGGCAACCTTATGTACAACAGAATGAAACTCTGCCTGGTGCTGCACCAGTCTCACAATCCCTGATATACCTGAGACCATCGCTGCAGCCACTGTGTCAATCCATCTCATTTAGGGCCTTGACCTTTTTTGCTGACCCTCACCTTCATCAAGCATGATATTGTTCTTCAGGGTCCTTTCTGACAACATGACCAAAGTAGGTGAGAAGAAATCTGACCATGCTCGTTTCCAAGAAGCATTCCAGCTGCACTTCATCCAGGACAAATTGGTTAGTTCTTCTTGCAGTCCATGGTACTTTCAGTATTCTTCACCAACACAACAACTCAATAGCATCAACTCTTCTTCAATCTTCCTTATTCATTGTCCAGCTTTCACGTGCATATGAGGCGATTGAAAATACCATGGCTTGAGTTAGGTGCACCTTCATCTACAAAGAGACATCTTTGCTCTTCAGCACTTTAAACAAGTCTTTTGCAGCAGATTTGCCCAGTGCAATACATAGTCTGATTTCTTGACTGCTGCTTCCATTTGTGTTGATTGATCCAAGTGATAAGAAATCTTTGACAACTTCAATCTTTTCTCCATTTAATGTGATGTTGCTTATTGGTCCACTTGTGAGGATTTTTGTTTGCTTTATGTTGAGGTGTAATCCATACTGCATATTTTAATCTTCATCAGTAAGTGCTTCAAGTAATCTTTATTTTCAGCAAGCAAGGTTGTGTCATCAGCATATCACAGGTTAATGATTGTTCCTCCAATCTTGATACCATGTTCTTCTTCATAGTCCAGCTTCCGGGATTATTTGCTCAGCATACACATTGAATAAATATGGTGAAAAGATACAATCCTGACACACTCCCTTCCTGATTTTTAACCATGCAGTATCCCCTTATTCTGTTCGAATAACAGCCTCCTGGTCTACGTACCAGTTCCTCGTGAGCACAATTAAGAGTCCTCAAATTCCCATTCTTCTCAGTGTTATCCATAATTTGTTATGATCCACAAAGTCAAATTATTTTGCATAGTCAATGAAACACAAGTAAAGCTCTTTCTGGTATTCTTTCCTTTCAACCAAGATCCATCTGAAATCAGCAATGATATCCCTCGTCCCACGTCCTCTTCTGAATTCAGCTTGCATTTCTGGAAGTTTCCTATCAATATACTGCTATAATCATTTTTGAATCATCTCCAGCAAGATGGCATAGTGCTTAAGGGATTTGACTGCTAACCAGAAGGCAGGCAGTTCAAACCCACAAGACACTCTTCAGAAGGAAGACTGTGCAATCTACTTTCATAGAGATACTGCTTCAGAAATTCAAGGGTCACTGTGAGTTGGAATTGACTCGACGGCAGTGAGTTTGGTTTTTTTGGTTTGTGATATTAGTGATATTGCTTGATAAATTCCACATTCTGTTGGATCACTTTCCCTTGGAATGGGCACAAATATTGATCTTTTCCATTCAGTTGGCCAGGTAGCTAGCTGTCTTCCAAATTTCTTGGCATAGATGAGTGAGTGCCTCCAGCACAGCATCTGTTTGTTGAAACATCTCCATGGTTATTTCATCAATTCCTTGAGCCTTCCAAAAAAAAAAAAGAACCATACTCACTGCTGTTGAGTCAGTCCCAACTCATAGTGCCCCCTCCATGGGTTTCCAATGTGGTATCTCTATGGAAGTAGATTGCCCAATCTTCCTTCTGAGGAGTGGCTGGTGGGTGTGAATCGTCAGCCTTCTGGTTAGCAGTCCTTTATTTTTTACAAATTCCTTCAGTGCAGCTTCAACTTCTTTCTTCAGTACCATTGGTTCTTGATCATATACCACTCCTAAAATAGATGAATGCTGACCAACTCTTTTTCATACAGTGATTCTGTGTATTTCTTCTATCTTCCTTTGATGTCTCCTGCATCAGTCAATATTTTGCCAATAGAATCTTTCAATATTGCAACTCAAGGCTTGAATTTTTTCTTCAGTTCTTTCAGCTTGAGAAATGCTGAGCATGTTCTTCCCTTCTGATTTTCCAACTCCAAATCTTTGCACATTTCATTATAATAATTGACTTTGTCTTCTCAAACTGCTCTTTGAAATCTTCGGTTACCTGTAGTATTATCAATTCAAGTGTTTGGTAAAGAAAAAAGAAATAACTAGGCAATTTGTAAGATAAAAGTTACTTACAAAATCTAAATTCATTGTGCCTAGATGCTTCCTTAAGATCCTTTAAGAACTTTAATACTAACTCTTTAGCCAGCATTTCAGCTCTGGTAGCATAGTGGCTAAGGCACTTGACTGCTAACCAGAAGGCTGGTGGTTCAAACCCACCAGCCACTCCTCGGAAGGAAGGTTGGGCAATCCTACTTCCGTAGTGATACTGCCTCGGAAACCCAAGGAGGGGTCGCTATGAGTCAGGGCTGACTCAACGGCACATAACAACAACAACAACTCTTCAAAAGTTACTAATAATAAGACAGTCTCACTGACACAAGTAGGTAACTGTTGTTAGTTGCCATTGAGCCAGCTCCTGGCTCATGATGACATAATGCACAATAGAACGAAAAGCTATGTATCACATTATTGTGATTCCAGAGGGTTTTGCTGGAAGATTTTCAGAAGCAGATCACCAGATATTTCTTCCTAGTCTGTCTTAGTCTGTAAGTTTCACTGAAACGTTTTCAGGATCATGGCAACATGCAAGTTTCCACTGACAGATAGGTAGTGGCTTCACACGAGTATTGGCAAGGAATCGTACTTGAGTCTCCCATGGAAGGTGAGCATTCTACCACTAAACTATATTATCTTCAAGGTAACCATACAGACAATTAACTTGTATAATAATGATTGGTGCAATGAG